TTACTCTTTTGGCACCAAAAAATATTTTCTACTCTTTCAAACAATCTTCAACAAAAACAAAAAAATTACTTTCTTTTTAACTTTTTGTTTAACGACTCTGATTCACACTTAAATGACAAATACTGATGCCTCTTCATTTTGTTCAATTTGAAAATTATTTAGATCATTAATTTATTTTTGTAGATAAACTTAATTTTATTTAACTTTATTTAGTAAATTACTTCAAAATGTTATAATTTAGCAATTTTGATTGACTATTAATTCTTAACTCCATAAATTATGAGACCTTGACTCTGAAAATTGTTAATTGAATTTTTGATAAAGTGAACTAATTATTTGTTCCCCTAGCGATTCATATTAATGTGAATTGACTGTATATAATTTACAAACCCAGAAGTTTTTAAGCAGTTGATATAAGATTTTATTTTTTAAAAACAATTTATAAGAATAGAAATCAGTAAACAGTGACGTCATTTGAATATCTGCTAACCGACGTTCCAACCGACCTTATTGTACCTGAAGGCCATTCAAAACAGCCGAAAATATTTGTACTTAGTGATTAAACTGCTAGAAACAAATTATGAAAGGTTTTGTCTTACTTCTTTTAAGTAGTACTAGCTTTGAATGCATAGAAGATATTTAAAAAATAAATATATAGTGCACAAACATTTAAAAATCATTCTCATAAAATGAATTGATTTAAATTTCCATTGTGTGACAAATATTCATTTCCTGATTCCCTCTGCATTTTTGATTTCTTATGATTTCAATTTGAAGGTTGATGATGTCTTGTTTCCTAAATTTTGTATTTTCAACTCCAAACTGATGATATGAAAGAATGCTTGTCTGCCATTTTCTACATATGGTACTTGCAATGTTTTTCCATGCAGTTGATAAGTCAGAAGCATTTTTTTACAGTAACCAGTCAGATTTTTTTTAATAGTAAATATACTGTTTGCTGCAATCTTTAGCAGGTCACAGTTTATTATAAAAATCTCAATTTAAACATTTTGACACTTTCAACATTATTTGATGCTAGTCTTAAAGTGTAAAATCATTTTTAGAATGACAGAGAAGTGTATTTAAGTTTTCATTTATAAATATAAATTGATGATCCAAAGTCAGTTACAATATAAATTTGTGAAAATATAGAAAATAAAACATAAAATATCTTTTTCTCTGTAAACCTTACAAGTAAGTTTGAGAACAAAATAAGATATATTCAGTGCTGAAAAATTTGTAATGGCTATTCCAAATGTTAACAGTTAACAGAACATTTAAATTCAACAATGAATTCAAGCACTTGTTGCATTGTTCTCTTAGCATTCTGAACACACTAGTATCTTACCAAATATGTTAATATTGAAAAAATTTCTTTTAGATCATTATAATTGAAATAGTTTCTATTGAGTTTTAATTTGTTTAGTGATGCTAATTTGAAATATTGAGAGATCCTATTTGAAAAACCACATATTATTTTATTTTAGATTTCCAAAGTAAGATTTTGTTGTTTGTAATATAAAAATAAAGGAAATAATTGGTAATAAATAACTTATTTTTGTAAACTGTAATTAGAAAAAAGAGTTGGAAAATAATTTGTTTATTTTAAAAATATTTCATCATACATTTTACTGTACAAAATATTTCTGATTAGTTAGAATAATATTTGTATTGAATTTTTCTTAAAAACAAATTTTGTAATTGATTTCTATATATGTAATTGTATGCCATAGTTATAGATCATTATATTAAACTATGGCTATTAAAATTAAGTTTTAATTATAAATACTAATAAATTAAATGTAACTTTTTCAAAAAAGATTTTTTTGAGAGCTTTATTTAAATGTTATGCTGTTTGTTTTTTTTTCTACAATTTTACATAGTCACTTCAATGCTTTGTATGGACAATCACATTAAATGAAACATATTTAACCTATTTATTAACCTATAGTAATATTAAATGTTTCAGACCATTAGAGATGTGATGCTGTAGATTAACTATATCACATAAAATCTGGAACAGCATACAACTAATCACAAAACACCTTTTACTTTTCCAACAATCAGTTTAATAAAAAAAACAAACATATGTTTTCAGTCCCTTTTTAGAGATTGTTTCTGATTATTAAATTGAATAACAAAAATTCTTTTGTGTTTTCTAAGATACAACACTTTGAATACTACATTACATAATTTAAAATTTAAAGATTTATAATTTAATGTATATAAACACTGCACGTATAACAATATCCAGCAATAAGAAACTACAAGAAAGCAAACACAATTTCTATCGTGCAATAGCTTATCTATCATAGTTTAACTGGAACATGCAAATTATTCTCAAGTGTTGTTCTAATTACACCAATTGCCATTCTCTGCACACTGAACTGATCATATAAACTGAGATCTTTTCACCTGCTGCAATGAAACCGACTAAATCACAGGTTCTCAGACTTATTTCGACCATCGCCCACTTTGAGATTAAAAAAATCTAGTGTCCCCATATTTTTTAACTTACCTTTTTACATTACCATCTGTTGCGTATCTTGAAAACAGTTATTGCATATATAATGTTTAAACATGCATTATTATATGGATAGGATAGATAGGGTGTGACCCATATCATATTTCTGAGATCAAAGAATGTTTCAATGAGAAGAAATAAAACTCATATTTAATCACTGAGCCTTCTACTGCCCTCCTGAAAGCCTCCAGCGCCCACAAGGGGGCATTATCGCCCACTTTGAGAAAAGATGAACTAAATTATCTACTTTATCAGCAATGGCCACAGCAATTGTTACAGGAGATTTAGGACATTCTTGCTCATTGTTTTTTAAACAGTCTATAGGTTATACATATAAGTGTAAAAATACAGTAAGCTTTTTAGCTTTTTTTTAAGGCCAACTTTAGGTTTTTACATTAACTTGTACAAAAATAATGAGTACATGAATTTAGTGGGGTTCCATAAAATAAATACAATCATGTGCATATAGAAATAAAGTTGCATGTCAATTATTACATGTCAGATAATAAGAAGATACAAACTGGATATTATTTGATTTATAATTGCAATATATATTTTAAAATTTCATTCAACAAATTATGTTGTAAAATATTCATATGCAAAACTTTCACGTCAATTTTTAATACAGACAAAATATTAATTTAACAAACTATTTGTCTTACTTTGTTGCCATCTGAATCAGTAATCCTATATTCAACCATATCTTAATAATTAACATAATAGTAAACTGCTACTTAATGCAGACTGTGTGTTTAATAATTCATCATCATTAATCCTGGGCTCATCGCCTGTTCATGTCTGATGCGTTTTCCACTGTTTCCTTCCATTTCTCTCTATCCATCGTCAACTTTCTCAATTCCTGTACATTTGCTCCACATCACTTCTGTATGTCATCAATCCATTCTCTATATGGTTTGCCTCTTTTGTTAGATTCATCCATAATACCATAGACTAGAGTCTTAATTTTTCTGTTTTCATTCATTCATTCATTGTTTTAATAATTAATATTTCATAATGATTATCTTAGACTTGTAATTTAGAACAGTGCTACTCAGAGATACTCACAAGCCATCAGCTGCTTATCTGCAAAGAGTTTTGAGGAAAGAAAACATATTACGTAATGCTATGTTTTCAAAAAGAATATAATAATAAAAATCAAATTTAAATTGCTTTGTTGTAGCAGTTTGGGTTTGAAACTTGATACCATATTTAAATAATCATTTCTTTCTCAGATGATACAATATTGATATCATCTGATACATATTGTCTTGCTGTAGTGTATAGTTAACTAAATATGAATATACAGGGTGTCCACCATGAACCTGACACGTTTGTTTCGACTGCCATATTGAAGTGCAAGGTAGTAAGTAATCGGATGTCGTGCATTCCATTAGGCAGAGAAACTGTGGAAGTTATATAAGTAATTTTGAAAACCCACCAAAATGACTGTAGGTGCTGTGGCAGTAGTCAAATGCAAAATGGCTTCTCCACAAGAGTGGGCATAAGCTGTGTGGTTGTGTGGTGGTACACTGAAACAAATTCTGTGATTCAAGTGCAATGGAACTTTCGTTGCGTGTTTGGCAAGGTGCCACCCTCGAGGAACACTCAAGTTATGGAAACAACACTTGAATTAGGTGCGAAGGATCGATACTGTGGCCTCCTCAATTGCTGGATATTACGCCCTTAGACTTTTTCTTTTGGGGAATTGTCAAGGACAAGGTTTACACTGGTGTTAAAATTCGTGACCTTCAACATCTTCGTGTGCGCATTCATGATGCTGTTGCTGCTGTCACGTCCGAGATGCTTGAAAGAGCCTGGCAGGAAATGGAGTATAGACTCAATGTTCTATGTGCAACAAAAGGAGCTCATGTAGAGGTTTGCTGATTTTTTTTAATAAAACTTTTTGAGTTTTTCATCATAAAATGTGCATTACTTTACATCTTTCCTGAGCGGTAGATTTTTTACAACAGTTTCAAATGTGTCAGGTTCATGGTGGACACCCTGTATTGTCTAGCATCCCAGTATCCTAGCATTTGAATGCAATAATTCAGTAATAATGCAAAGTAATGGTACCAGTCCTTAACATACTGAAAAATCATTGCTGATCTGCCACATCAACTAGTTTCAGAAGAATTAGTTTAAAATACAATGTTTCTAAAAATTTTTTTTCTATAATTAAGCTTGTAATTAAATGGTTAATTTTTTTTCTGTCACAAAATGTTAGGTATTTTTGAAGTCATTTGTACATGCCTTCAGAATATGCTATTAATGTGTTTTAACTGTCAAAATTGAATGTTTTGCAGGAAAATGTTAAGATTTTATATATTTGTTAATATATTATTTTTATTTTCAAATTATATAATTTCATAACTTAATAAATATTATAATATGCTTTCAAGTACAGTGTACTAATAGTTGTTATATCAACTGTTTTATATTAATCTGTCATTAAACATATCTCTGTAATTATATATAGGCACAAGACACAAGCTGTATGTGCATTACAACGAAACAAATGAGAGATAGATTCAGGTAAGCATTTTTGCTTTCAAAATTTTGTAATCAAAGTTTTTTAAGCTAAATTGAGACTTAACTAAATAAGTGCTTGTCAAGGAGTAATCATTTTTTTAATTAAGCAAATCTAACTTATGTGACTTGGCTATTACTGTCACTGAAAAGCAATTTCTTTTATAAACCAAATGATTGGTGTAATTAATTGGGGTTTTTTGCTACTATTAATAATTAGATACTAAATAATTTGGTATTAGAGGTAGATGCTAGGTGCAATCTCTTATTGAAATTAATAATTATAATAATTTAATATTTATTTAATTTTAGAATAGCTTGGATGAATGCATGGTGGGATTCAAGCCTGCAACTTCCACTTACCATGCAGTGCATTGCCACTTACCATTGCGTGCCTGCGTTCCACTTATTGTGTGGTGCGTTGCCAAAATTAATAATTATAATAATTTTGATAAGGGATTGTGCCTAATGTCTACCTCTAATACCAAATTACTTAGTATCTAATTATTAATAATAGCAAAAAAATAGCTCAATTAATTGTCAATGATTTGATTTATTATTAATACATCAGGTTTAGTGATGTTTATATATATATATATATATTTATTTCTTTGTGTTTCAAAATGATAATTAATTAGTGTTCTGATTACAAACTTATTATTTATTGTGTGTGTGTGTACAAATAGCTTGTTGAATGATAATTAATTAATTTTCTAATATAATTTGGGGCTCAAAATTTCAAGAAAATTAGCTTACAATTGTGACTATATTAACATCAAAAATACGCTAAGTGTAGGTTATATCTAATTATTTATGTAGTATAGTTCTGATATTTATTGACTTCTGACTTTTAAAAAGTTAACTTTTGAAATAACTTAAGATTTTCTGTCTCCAAATATGATTTTTGAACTGAATTGTTTGGTTACACATAGTTAGTTGTAATTTTTTATACTTTTAAATTCTCATTATAAAATCATATTGATTTTATAATGAGAATTTAAAAGTATAAAAAATTACAACTAACTATGTGTAACCAAACAATTATAAAATCATTATAAAATCATATTGATTTTATAATGATTTGCATAGAAAAAATGATTCTGAATAACCTTCAAATGAAAAATTTAATTTGATTATGCAGATTTAAATGTTATAAATTATATTACTGTACTGTATAATGGTTTACAATAGTTAAGCTTTGTCATCATATTATAAGCATTGCACATAACTTTCAAATGATAATATTTTTATTATATTGTATAAAGGTATGTCAGAAAATATATGATTTTAAATTATCTACCAATACCCAATCTGTCTTTTCATATTTAATAATACATATTTAAAAATATAAAACCATTTTATAAGAGACTAAGAACTAGTAGTACAAAAAAAGAGGGATTACATGTCAAAAGTTAACTGGTGTGTGCATCTGTTGTTCAATAATTTTTGGATATTTCTCTGGATTCTTTTGTCAACTTTATCATCAGCCAATGTACTTTTCCTTTAAATTCTGTATGACAGTGTATTCTTACATAAAGCGGTATGTTTAGATCCTTAGAGGATATATTCAACAAATGTAGGAATGGTGTAAGATTATTGGAAAGCAACAGGAATATTACTGTAATAGTGGTTTATGCTTTAGAGTAGTAGTTGGAAATTGACTGGAATCAAGTAATGAAATGCCAAGTATATTCAACTCTCCCTCACAACTGCTGAAGAACTATTCATAGCAATTAGTGAAAAATAAATTACTTAACAAAAAGATGATACAGGAGCTTATACTAGATCTTCAGAAACTTAACTGAAAAAATGTGTTTAATTATGTAAACAAACAGAGAAATGGTCATATGTATCTTTTTGAAAAAGCTCATTGTACTGGTTAAGTTTGATAAAATACCAAACGAATTTGAAGATTTCAGTTTTGTTTTTGATCAGAATGTGAGAAAATATCTCAATTGTTTATCAGAATATATGGAAAATACTTTATAATGTTAGGAGTTTTATATTTTATTAAATTTGTTAAAGGTGTTAATTAATTAATTAATAAAGATGTCAACTATATGTAAAAACAAATACGAACGAGGTGACCATGTTCTCTACAAACCTTGGTACCCAGCAACATGGCGCCCCCACTTGAGACGGTAGAGAATACTTTTACAATCTCTACTCTACCGTCTTTCAGCACATAGCGCTTGTCATCAGTACAGTACATGCAGTTAATGTAGTCACATTGTCATGTGCAGTACAGAAACTAGTTGAGACGTGTTCGCATACCTTGAATACAGCACTTTTGCACATCAAAACAAAAGCCAGAAATTGCTTAAATGCATCTGATGACTTACGTTTTAATAGAATTATTATGAATAAACAACAACAACCTAGCCAGTAAAATTTAAAATATTGCTTTTTATGTTATATGGTAATATGTATTGTATATAAACATGGCATTTACAATATTGACTGAAATTGATTACTGAATTAAATTTGTATTTTGGTTTTATGTCTTCAATAAATATATATGTTATAATAAATATTCAGGTTTTAATATAATAAAAAAAATAATTTATTTCTATGTAATATTTTGTAAAATTAATTACTCTTAATATTGTAATATTTAAAATACAAAATAAAATTATGATAAATTCAGAACATTTTATATAATAATACATTAAGATTTGGAAGTTAAAAGTAAAAAAATGTTTTTATTATTGAATAAATTTTAAATGTTACAATTTTTAACAAATTAATAAATAAAGAACTTGTATAATTTTTTTAAGACAATAATTTAAGTTTATTTTTTATTTAAGCATTTTTATTATCATGTTTACTTATCTAGTGTCATAATTGTGCAAGTCTAGACAGCATTTGTATCACTGTGCCAACTTCCTATTACTAAAAAGAAAAGTTTTTTATTTTTGTTTTTTACAACATAAAAAAAAATATAACAGTGTAATTTTAATCTAAATTTTTTTAAATAACAAACATTTCATACTTTGTAAAGATTTCTTTNAATTAAAGCGTTTCTAAACTATTTTAAAGTTTTGAAATTTTGAAAAACTTCAAAAAACTTTGTAAAGAATTTGATAAAAGTAACATTACAAAGCCTTAAGTCACAAACTATATGCTTTGAAGTACAAAACCATGTTATAAAGAATTGAAAACCAGTACAAAAATGGGAGTTTACATTCCAAAAACTAATTGATGTTGTGTATCTGCTCCTCAATAATTTTTTGAACTTCCTCTGGATGCTTTTGTCAGCTTTATTATCAGCTGATGTACTTTTCCTTTAATTTCTTATGTAATTCCTTACATAAAAAATCATTTAAACCAGCCCTTATTGGAAACAACTGGGTTAGTGGTTGATTCTGTATTTTTTTTTGTTTGTTTGTTTATTTGTTTAATTATATACTGTCTAATAGACTGGTAAATGGTAATAATTACATTTTTGTTAACTGCTGTTGTCATTTCAAATGTTGAATTCTTTTTGCATTCTTTCAATTAATTTATGTATCTTTAAGATCCAAAATTCATATCCTCTATGGTATAAGTTGTTGTTGTATTTTATTTAGTAATATTTTGGTGTACACACACCAAAATATTACTAAATAAAATGTAAAGTCAACTGTCTTGTGATATTATTTAATAAATTAAACAAAAATTAGAATAAATGCAAGCACTTTCAAAATATATTATGTCAGAAAATGAAGCAAATAAACAAATCTAACAACGCACAGAAATATAGTTATATGTAACACAAAGAAAAGCTGAATGAGGGGACACCGTGCCAAACAGACGTAGCAGACCAAACAAGACAGTGGCCTATGACCAAAAAATGTAAAGCTCACCAACATAGCACCATCTAATACAAAATATGTCTTAGTACACAGGGATTGCATTTTTACTTTCTTTCACAAAGACCTATTTGATTTATAATAATGATTTGTTTTCTCTGGTTAAAGGAAAATTTTTTAAAAATTATTGAAATAATTAAAAGGTATACTAAAAGTTTGAGTTTGGCCAAGAGACTTCTATCTATCAAATTTACAATGTTAACTGTTGAAAAAGTTCAAAATATAATAATCTGCTATGTATAATTTTATTGAACAAGAATTCTTCATTAATTTCTTTTTGAACAACACAAGACTGATTATAAGTTAAGACAGACAACTAGAATAAGTATACAAAACAATTTATATTTTGTAAATATTGTAATTTTTTTTCTAATATATTAACTTCAATAAGATCCTAATGTCAGCAAAAAATTTCTTTTTAACATTTTCTTAGTTCTGTATTCATAGATCACAATATTTGTTTAAAAAGAAATATTTAAAGCAAAATAACCAGATAATTTCTATATTTTTTATTAATATGAGTGAACTGAGACTACAAATTTTTTTGTTTTCCTTTATAAAATGTAGAATTGTCATTATAATATGAAAATTTTAATGATTAGTTTGAATATTATGTAACTAATGAAGCTTTAAAATAAATGATTTTTAATGTAAAATATTATAATGTTCTGTTTATACATTGTCATGTCACAATGCCAGGATTCTACACATTTATAATGATTAGTTGTAAAAACTGCTTCATACTGATTTGTTAATCTGATGGATATATGTAAACAAAGCAAAATCTGAGAAACAAACTATTTCGTTTGTTTTACATATTTTTTAAAATTTGATATCCTCTTACTACATATGAAGAAATAAATTTATTTTATAACATTTTGAAGTCATTAGTAATTAGGAAATATGCTAGAAATAAATATATCATATTGAAATTTGGTCCTATAAAGTTGTTAAAAATTAAAAAATATATTATATAAAATTTTTATTATACATCGAAAAATTTTATAACATTATGTTTCATTTTAATAAATTTACATGCAGTAAGTTCAGTTTACAAAATTTTCAGTTAAATTTTGTGTTGTAATTGATAAGAACAAATTGTTTTCTTAAAATTCTAAGAAAATTGAAGGGAAGGGAAATATGTTGCAAAACTTTTCCTTTGATAATTAGTATACATATTTATTGAAAGAATAAATAATGAATTAAGTCCTTTACTGCTTTTTAATTTCTGAATTTCTTCATTTTTTGAATTGATAAATTAAAGAATAATTTTCTACGTATTTGTTTGATATTAGTCTTTTAACTTTTTTTTATGTCCGTGTCAATGTTATCAAATTTTATGTAAGCATTAACATAAAGAGTTATGCTGTAATTAATTTGCTGTGTGCATTGTAGAAATACCACCATCAATTTGATTTTATTTTTGTAGACTTCAATCAGTATACTAAACTGAAATAATAATAAACAATAATGCAACCTTAAATGCAGAAATTGGTTTGTATGTTTATTTTAAATTTTAAATGTTTTAAAGACAGTGTATTTGAATGATAAATTAATCATAGTGTGAATTGCTTTGATGAAAAAAAAAATCTACTTAAATGATCTGTTACTCAGATATTTTGTCTATTAAGTTTATTAAGAGAGAGATTTAATCCAAATACAACAAAAACATTTATCAGTAAAGGGATTGTGATTTTTGTTTGGGTGTGAAAAGTTTGTTTAAATAATCATAAAATATTCAAAGAAATATGTATAATTCTAATGTTTATGACATTACAAAGTTTTTTCTTCTTCAGAATGAACAGCTTTATAAATAGAACATAAAGTGTATGCAAGAACAAATACATGTTTAAAGATGTATTTACATTTTTTGTTTTGAAAAGTTTTTTAAATAATTAAACAGGAAAAAATTATTTTAAAAATTATTCATAAAATTAAAAATTATAATGCTTATATTTAACTTCTAGGATTTGAAAATATCACAAAATCTTCACTTCATGTAAGCAACAGAAAATAATGTCAACTTCTAGTAGTCTAAGTGTACCAGAGTTAATGCTTCCTCCACCACAGCAGCCTCAAATCATTAAAGAAGGATGGTTACAGAAAAGAGGTAGGATTATTAAATTTAAAAATTTATTATTGGTAATATAAGTAAAATTTTCATATTTTTCATGTTAGAAAAAATTTGAGTAAATCATTGTTTTGCATAATTTGATTATTAGTAAGTGCAATAGTTTTCGACCAGGGTACCACTACAATACTTCGGAGGTACTGAAAATTAGTCTGAATAGCACTATTATATGTATCAGTAAAAATATGAAAAACACAATAACTCTAAATTGATAAAGAATGGGTGTTTGAAGAAACATTACCAAGTTGGGATGACACTATTAGAAAAAGGTTTGAAATCACTATTAAGAGATGCAGATTGCTCAAAAACATTTTTTTTACATAGTCATTAATATATTTAAAAACAAATATGATTGAATAACTAACTCCTAAGTAAATATTATGATGATTTAAATATCTCACTAAAGATACAGGAAACATTATATAAATGGTTTAGAAAATTTTACCCTCGGTAGAATAACTTGCATCATATTTTTTTGTTCTGTATCATATAATATTTGTTCAAATGTAGTGATACAAACACACACAAATACAACTCCTGCATGCAATGAATTTCATTCACCAATAAAAACTTCAAATAATTTGTAGTATAATGCACATATGTATTTTTGTAACAAAAAGTAATTGGGCTACAATTTTTCCAAAAATTGTAGACCTGTAAATTTTCACTGTCATGCGACCAGATATGGAAACCTTAGTGGCAGGAGGCCTCAATTAACTATTTAAGAACTTTCGAAGCAAACCAGAAGTCATGTTATTTCAGTTCAAAAATTTTCCCCCGAAAGGTGTTAGTTAGATGACTCTATTGTTAAAAGAAAAGTATGATGTACAGGGGCAAGCCACTACTAATTTGAGATGGAGAACATATATTTTAAATTAAATAAATTAAAAATGATTAAAAATTGCAGCCTAGAATTGTGACAGTTTTTTACTATAAAGATAAGTAATCATACAAACATATAAGCTCAGATTTCAGGAAAATATGTTGCTATTAAAATATATAATTTGTAATTTCCAGTGCCTTTGCAATATGTTTCTTTGAACTTTGTTCAATGTGTTAACATTCTGTAATCACAACAGAATAGCATCACGTTTTCACCTTATAAAAGTTGCAAGGCATTGAGGCATGGAAGATGCAAACTTGTGCAGCAACTGTGCAATAATTTTTTCTCATTCTTTTCTTAAATATGTATATAAATGTTCTAACATGCAAGGACTGTGTTGAGTCATCTTTCTTTTCAAAAATCTCCATACTTTTTTTTATCTATCAGAGACAGGTCTAGGCTTGACACTAGCCAGGGAAGTTCACATATATATATGATATGATTAGACTGCAGCCAGACTTTGGTTTCTTAGCATTTTGTGGATAAGCATTGTCATGCTGGAAAATACAGGTCCATTTTTGGAAAAGTTTGTTTTGATTCACTTAGATGTTGCTGAAGGATTAAAATATAGGCTTTGGAATTTACAGCAACATTGCAGAAATGCAAATCTCCAACTTCTTCTGTGCTCATGCATTCTCAAACTATTAGAGACTGTGGTTTCTGGACCTGTCTCGAATAACAAGTTGCATTATTAGTTTTATCTTTAGTATGAATGACTTTCTTGCCTATATCTCTATGGTTTACATGAAATGTTGATTCATGCGACCATAATATTTTCTTCCAAGCAGCATTTGTCCACTTTAGATGAGTTCTGGCCCAAGCTAAGCTTGCATGATTCATCTACAAGAGGTTTTCCTTGGATTTGTACAACCAGTATTTGCATTGTTGGATATTTCTCTACACTGTTCATTCCCTTGTCCACTTTGTCAAATCTTCTATGGAAACTTACCAGCTCTGGGAAATATAATGTCAAGAGAACCATAATTGCCTAGAACTGAGATGTAGTTTTCTTCTAAATTTCCTTAATTTGTTACTGGTAATTAAAGATTTTGTTTCTTCTAAAGCTTTACCTGGACAAGTGTTGCCCCTTTCTCAAATATTTTGATCCTGTGTGATACTGCATTGATTCCTTCTATATTTGTGGATAATAGTTTTCTTGATTGGTTCTGGTACTGTCTTACCTCTCACCATTTTTTACAGACAGCTATAGGTGACTTGCCTTATATATGCAATATGTGTGACATAAGAAAACTATGAGAAATTCCAAAAAACTCTCCAAAAATCCTTTCTGAACAAACTTCAGTGCAATGGCTGACAAGCAGTTGAAATATTTGCATATTATATTTTAGCTATTGTATGTATTCCAAACTAATGAAATTCGAGGAGAAAGTTATTGGAATAAACTTGTTTATTTTCAAAAGGAATTAATTATAGCACTTTCAGAAATTTACGTAAACTTGCATAAATATTAAAGTTTGAATGATGATCATAGCAAGCAGGGTTGTACATAGTATAGGATAAAAACACTGTGGTACAAATACCTGTACCATATTTCAACTTTAAGTATCCATTCCTCCGTATTTGAAGATATTTTGTTTTTGTTTTTATCTCCTAGTTCTTAAATATCCAGTCCCAAGAAATTTGGATTTCACAGTAACTGACTTATTTATCTTATATAACTTAAATATTATTACATATAAATCAAGCCCTAACATATACAGTAGTAATAAACAAATACTTCCAAATTTTAATAGGGCTATAATATGGCTAATTAATTATAAAGTTATTAAATTTAGACTTAAGCTAGATGGTTATGTTACTATTTTGTATTAAATTTAATAATTAAAAATAAATTAATCAGCATATAATATTCTAGAAGAAAATTGGTTCAGAGTACAATTCCTGCTTACTGTTTAAATGCATTGCCAATTATGCTACTAAATCTCCATTTGATCTTTGCTTCCAGACAAATTAATTTAGAAGGTATAACCATACAAGCTTAGTCAAGTAAATGTCATGGAAAATTGTGGGTTTATAATTGTCCCCACTCAGCATGATGAATGGTCTGTTTGATTATATGACAGGTTATGTTAACTTAATTGCCAATACATCTACATGATAAGCAGGAATAGTGGGTTTGAGTCGTTTTTAACATTGGTCTTTTCTTTCATACTATTTATTTCCATTAAATTTAATACAAGATGACAACTTAACCATCTACTTTTAGTCCAAATTATGTAATATCTTTATAATTTAATTACTTATTATGGCTTGATTTTTTAAAAATATTGTGATTATCATTTGTTCATTAAATACAGGGGGTGCAAAAGTATGTACACAGTTGAGAACCTGAGAAATACAAATGTTTGGTATTCATTATTCATATTTTTATTATCTTTTATTATGTGATTTGATTTGTACATAAAAATAAATGTTTTTTCTTTCTATTTTCTCCCTGTGTGTTTTTTTCCCCCATAATAATTATCTATCTACTTTTGCACCTGCCTGTATTATTCAATACTGTCAAACAGCACCAACTTTATTGGTGTTATTTAATTTTAAATACTATAACCTATCAGATGTTTAAATCCGTCTCCGTTGCTGGTGACGCCATGTTGAATTTTCATTGATGTTAAGCCTAACGAAAATTACATGTTTTTGAAAAGAATAATTGTGGCTATAGTATCATCCGAAATTAGTTCTTTATTTATCACGAAAAAAATAGATATAATATTTTTGATTATTATATTTACAGTAGAGCGTTGTTTATCTGAATCAATTGGGGACTGGGGTTGTTCGGATAACCAATTATGTACGAATAAATATATTAACCTATCCCGTGTTGAAATTTTTCTTCGTTGCATGTTGCTTTGCGTTGAATTTTCGTCGATGTTAAGCCTAACGTAAACTTTTTTAAATAATAATCATGGCTATTGTATCGTTAAAAATTATTTCTTTATTTTGTACAAACAAAATAAATATATTGAAAAATATAAAAAC